GCTGATAATGGCTGCTTCTTTGGCTTTGAATTCCAAATCCTTCCGGGTTAGCCTCCCAGGAAATAGGGGGATGTACTACCATGCCTTACTTAGTGGCCTTTGAAAACTCAATGTTCATTTAAAATACTGGGTTAGATGTAGTCTGGTAAAGAGAAAAGAAGCACGTGACATCAAACAGGCTGCACCATCAACTGACATGTTACCAGCAACATAGTATAAGGAGAATTCCACAACTAGCCCTCAGTGAGAAAAAATGTCCGCATGTTATGCTTGTAAAATGAATAATGTATTAACGACCTCCCTTTTGCTATGACGAAACACCATGACCCAGGCAACTTATGGAAGCAAAAGCTTATGATTTCAGAGGAATCAGAGTCCTGCCTGGCAGGGAAGCATAGTAGCAGGCAGCCTTCAGGGTGGCGGGAACAACTGAGAGGTTACTTCTTGGTCCACGCATGCTCCTTTGCTGCTGTCGAAATGAAAATTTTGTTTGTGCAACAGAAGAGGGAAACACAGTGAATATGAGAGAGAAGTTCAGAAATAAACATGAGTCGATTGTCTTTAGTGGAACCCAGGCTTGTACTGCAGTAAGAGAAATGGCCACAAACTCTGGAATTCCGAGTCCCGAGCCAAGCGTGGTACCCCGTTGCAACACTCATAACCCTGTAACCAAATACATTACCCCACAACAACCCGGGGACCAGAAGCGGCCTTTTCAGGGGCTTGTGGAAACAGCCAACATGAACAGCCCTCTTTACGGGAGGATTTTATTTGTTTAGCTCTGGTCTTTGTGCTACAATCTGAAAGTTTTCATGTGTTTCTCTTGAAAAACGCCTTTTTATTCCGGGAAGCAACTCTTTACAATTACGTGCACTAACGTGGCGGCGGAGATCCTGTGAAAACTCGTAGGGTGCCAGGAAGGACGGAGGAGAGCGCGCGCGGGGGGGGGGGGTATCTGAGCTCAGACATCAAGTCTCAAAGAAGAAGGATTCAATTAAGATCGCTCCAATAAGTGTCCTTTGTCTCCTTCTCCTCGCGACACTCCAGGCCACCGCTTCCTGCCTGCCTTTCATTTTCAATCCTCCTGCTTGGATCACATAATGTTCCTGGCACCGTGTGAATGACTTTTCCCATCCTCCCCTCACACCAGGCTTGGGTTCTGTCATCTGTGGCCTCTACGCAAAGATGCAAATGGAAGCTCCTCTGAGGTGAAGTGAAGCCCGCAGGGCATTGCCCTGCCGCTGCCCCAGCAGGGTGTGAGCCTGCCACACAAGGAACTAGGCATATTTCACTGTTCTTGGCTTTTGTGACCTCATACCCACCTCCCCCGCCCTCCCCCCCAGAACTACCCCAACCACCAACCACCTCAGATCTATTTTTCCCCACTGCTAATATCTCCCTCCCAGACTCACTCAACAAATACTCACCTCTTCGAAGCCTTAGCCATTCTAAAACAGAAGAACTCTCACGGTCCATTGATGTGGATCTGGTATAACCCAAGCTGGACACAGACCCACCCCCCATTTTTATAATTCTCCTTTCCGTGTGGTTGCCACACTCCTGCCTGTCTGCGTGCCCAGTGCCCTGTACAGTCCTAGTATTATCTGGATTGATTATTCCCCATCTTCCATCTGCTGCTGGAAGGAAAGCGTTTGATCAGCAAAGAGAATTTGATGTCTGTGTTCCACATAGATACACTACTGACTATCAGTTTTTCAAGAGAAACACATGAAAACTTTCAGATTGTAGCACAAAGACTAGAGCTAAATAAATAAAATCCTCCCATACACAGGCCGAGATGGGGAGAGTATTTCCATACAAATTGTTCTGGTGTCCCCTGCCTACTGGTTTGGAACCAAGAGTCAGAAAACCCTGTGCTCTGTGTTCCCCACGAGCCTCAGATCAAAACCCAACATATCCTCTCAGGTGTCCATTGACATCATAAGAAATTCGGTCACTTGGACCATTGTCACAGATTCTTAGATTTCTGGTATCAGCACCACCGGTATCCTACATCAAATCCTTCCGCCCTGGCCTAGCATCCATTATCATCAAACTCCACTGCTCCTCAGCCTGGCTTAGTCATAACTCATCCTGTGGGTGAGCTGTCTCCACTCTTCCTTCAGCAAGCCCCCCCCCCCCGGGCCTGCACAGGGCAGGGATGGAGGAAAGGAAGGGGTTCTTGTTTGGTCCTGTTTCTATTCCCCTTTGCCTTTAACTCCTCCCGCCTTAAACTCTCCGTTATTGGGAGCAGTGAGACTCCAGATCCTGAATTTCTTGTAATCCTCTGATCTGAGTGCCTACAGCTGCTCTGAGCATGAGACCTTCAGGAGTTCCTGATGGCAGGAGAGTGGTTTCTGGTGGGTTTGGCTGGGGCATGGCTATCTCTATATAATCTGTCCCTGAACACAATAAAGGGGGCATTCTTGGGGAATTCAAGGATGACCCGTGTCTCTGTCTCTCTGTCTGTGTGTGTCTGTGTATTTTAACCTCCAGCCCCCTTGCCTGAAGCTCGCAAACTGGGTAATAGCGCACTGAGCGCAGACACTGGGGCATGGCGCGCGGCACTCCGTCTCCTTGGAAGTCACTTTTCTTCTTCGCTGGCTTCCTCTGAAGGCGTCACTCAGCTTCAGTCTTCAAAGATTTCAACTTCAGACCCTTTGTTCTTCATAAATACCTTCAACCCCATTATAATACCTGATGATTTTCTCATCTATGTTGAGGACACCACCTCTGGGATTTTACATTCTTGGCCTCCTTTCCAAAGATCTTCCCCACTCTATCTTAACTGACCACAGGCCAGGCCCTTGTAAATAACCACAAAATGTCACTTTCTAAGCTTTATTTTTACTGCTGTGTCGTCTCTTTAGAGCTCTCTCCCCCAGTCCTGAGTCCGGTGATTCCTCAGCCTCACCTTAAACACCAGCCCAGTTCATGGATTCTGCCTTCTTTTCCACAGAGTCACAATCTCCAGACCCCATTTCTGTTCCAGTTCTATCATAGACTCCACAACGCCTTGTTGAATCCTTGGCTTTCCCACCCATCCCTGTCCTGGGTCACCATGTTCTGCTGTACTCTTGGCTGAATTTTTATCACTTTGAAAACTACTTACCTCTAAGCCTCTGCTCGTTATGTTTCCAAATAGCTGAATATGGCAAGAGAGGACGATGTGCAAGAGCTGTCTTTAGCTCTCTAAGTGGTAACACACTCAGGTTACAGACGCAGGTGTGAGGATCCCTTGCCAGGCAGTGGAACATGAAGAAGGTTATGACACCAAACCTCCTGGCTCAGATTCCCTATTCTGCTACTTACAAGCTGTATATTTATGAAATATTTATTTTCACTCTTCCTGGCTTAGTCTTTTCATCTGTAAAATGGGAAGAAAAAATAGTATTTAAGCTCTGGGCTTGTGGTGACCGTGGATCTTGGACCCTACTATAAAACAACTACTTCATTTCTCCTCCCTTCTTTCATATTTTCTCCTAAATTCACTCCTGAAGTGTGTCCAGCTCCACCCCCAAGTACACAACGCTCTCTCAGAAGGACTTCTATCAGGGTTATCGATGACCTGATCACTCTGCTGAAGTCATACTCATTTCACCGTCCTTGTCTTCCTGGGTCAGTCAGACTGGGCCGGGCTGTGCTCAGCTGGAGGATATTCCCTGCTCGCTTTCATCTTCTTTTCTCTTGACCACTGCACCTTGGACTCCCTTGTGATAACGTCTCATTTTTTTTTTTTTTGATCGCTAAATAACATTGGGTGTGAGGCAGGAGTCCTTGGCTACCGGTTTGTCTCTCTCCGCATAGATTCCTTTCAATATCTTATACAGTTTCAAGTGTCAAATGCCATCTCTAAGCTGATGTCCCAACTGTCCTCAGGGAACCTGTCCCTTTCTGCAGGTCTCAGCTTTAACTTTTGCCTTGCACAAGGCTTCCCAAGGCTATGCTATTAAAATAAGAATCCCTACCCATCACTCTGTGCCTCTCCCCGACTCTTACTACTCTATGTCTTTACTCTGAATTGTGTTTGTACAATAGCACTTATTTGTAGATTAAAAGTCTTGTAAAAGTAGGAATGTATTGCACACAGAAAGCTACCTAGCGATGCTCACTGACTAAAACCATGATCTCATTCAGCCTCAGAAATCCCCCAACAATCCTGTTAGAGAGCTTATTACAGATGAAGAAGCAGACTAAGGTTAACCCGTTGCCTCAGAGCTGGCAATGCAGGGAGCCTCGTACTTGAGTGTACATCGCTCAACAGCCATAAAGGACTAGGGGATCAGACAGTGGGGCACTTTTCCCTAGGTACAGAGCTTAGCGTTGGGGCAACAGAGAAGCCCTGAGGTGGCCACAATGGGAGGTGGGAAGCTGGAGAGTGACCTGGCTTTGGAGCTGACTTACTTGACCATTTCTAGTTCCCTTGTAACTCAATCATGTGAACTTTTTGGGTCTACTTTGGTGTCTCATTGAAAGTTGACTAATAGCATATTTCGTGTTTGTTTTGCTATCATTTGAAGTGTCATGATAATAGTTGAGTCAAGAATTAGTTCAGTTCTCCAAACCAAGTTTTCTTTGAGATCTACAACATAAGAAGCCTTCTTGCTGTTTCCATAGCAGCCTGTGAGTTGACATAATCCCTAAAGAAGCTTATACACTAATACTAGAGAACCTTTTACTGTGCCCATGTGATGGCTCGAAATGCCGTGGCTTGCTAACTATACTAGCAAAATGCTGAGCTAACTGCAGGGTGTGGTATAGTTCCAGCTGTAGTTACAGATGCTTTCCAAAAGCCCAGTTGAATGGACCATTAAAATACCCATATTTAAAATAATTGACATTAGTGTATGCACTCTGTGAACTCTAACCTTTCTGTTTCTCCATACATGGGGTCACGAGTTTAAGAGATATTTCCCTATACAGGGCAGATGTTGTGAGTTCATAGATAAAAATGGATAACATTTCCATGATGTAATGGACTGCTGTTTTCTGTTTCAAAGGGATCCAGCCGTCCACCCTCCCATACCTCCAAAACCCCGCTCTCCCATTGCATCTCCTAAACAACTGAGACAGAATAACAGGTAAGAACTGCCCTTCTGAGTGTCTTGCTGGGATGTTGAAGGGAAATGATAGTAAAGGAATTGTGAATGGCTTTGTGCAAGGGATGGTCCTGCTTTCTGTGTGCATTCACTAATGCAAGACTCACAGAACTTCTATCAGGCCACATGTGTAACTACTTTTGCTTTAGAATAGTGCAGGCTATTGCCTGTTTTAGGGAACTATATCCTTGAAATAGCCATGGACCAGTAGAATTGAAGTGTTTGGATGAAAGTTTCTTATATATTAGTACTTGATATATATATATAATGTATATATGACATATATCTCATGCCTGTTACATGTAAACCACATTAAATGTCGTATTGAATCTATTTCATTTCTATTTTCCTGAAGTTAAGATTCTCATTAAGAGCTATATATTGTGATGCAGAAAATTCTTACAGCTTTGGGTTACCCAAGTCCTCAATTATGCTTGAGATACCTTTAGGCTGTTGCTTGAGTTTTTTTAAACTAAAGCATTTTTTGATTTGTTTCAAAACTATCTTAAGTATTGAAGAATATTCCAAATAATTTATCTCCAAGTCAGGAAAACCACACTTTCTTTTCTACTTCAAACGCTTGTCACTCTGTAATTAATACTTAGAAACAAATCCATAGGCCTGACAGCCTTCCTATATGTCCCTGCCACATAGTTTATAATCTATTGATCAATTTTTCAAGATGAATGTTCCCTCTTTTCATTAATACTGTCAGGCTAGATCCCAGCATCTCATTGGGGATTGAGCGTATTGGAGATCTCTCCGAATGCCTGCTTTTACCTCTCTTGTCATTTCGGCCTCGTGAGGAGGATTTTTGATGCCATGTAAGACACAATTATAGAACCATTCTTCAAAAGTCACTTTTATAGAGGCATTTTTTTTTAAATAAGAGGGTGACCTGCTAGAAAGTGTTGACCAAAAAACAGGGGTGTGTGGTACCATGTGTTCATCCTTAGGGGGAACCACTCCAGAGCTGAACCTCTACCCATAAAATCCCTCCGGATTGCTGAGAAATTTCCTCCTTAGGATATTGCTTTAATGAGTCAAGAGAATAGTTTTTCACTGAACTAATTAATAATATGGATTAGTTTTATAACTTTTCGTTTCTGCAACGATTATAATTATCTCATAAGAGCAATGTCTCAAGCTTCCTGTCTTACGTGATTGGTCCTCTTAGTCTTATAGTATTAAGCAATTAAGTCATAATTGGAATAGATCTTTTCGAGGAACTGAAATAAGCTGTCCCTGAACCACCTAAATTCTAATCTAAAACCATTGACACTAGAGGGCTGCACGTGTTTATATTCAGAAAAGGCTTAATTTCACAGGACTTGGTCAAATCCACTTTACTATGCTCATTTCTTTCAGTAAAAATAAAATTAGGACAACATGCATGTTAAAAAAAAAACCCTGATTACTTTAATCACAGCATGGTGACTTTAACGAACGAATATGAAAGGGAAGTAATTAACACAGGTCCTCAGGAGAGCAAAAAAATAGTTGGATATAGCTTCTCGAGAATAAGCAAGAATGTATAAGTAGGTCAGCCACAGTCTAAGGAAAAGAGAGAAGTCTTATAAATTCTGACAACCTAGCATTGTACAATTTACTGATGCCGGTTCAGTGTGGACCTTCTTGGTGGGGTAGACATTTTTGAAATATAGACTTATTTCTTTTTTACTTTAGTAAATACATTTCTTGGTAGTATTCACATGGGGTAGTCTTTCAGGAAAAGTCTGATTTGGGTGTCTAACAACAAAAAGGATTCTTAATATTTAAGATGGTATATAATTATCTAGTGGAGATAAAAAACAAAACACTTTGATGAATGGAAAAAAGTGAGCCCCGTTTAGATCAGACACGAATGAAGGTACCGAGTGCTCTAAAGCAGATGAAGAGACGTCGACATTGTAAAGTTAGCACCTTGCACATTTTAGGCTTTCAAAAAGGGGGATGATGGAATTCTTAGCCAATACAAAAAACTAAGGTAAAATTTTTGTTAATCGTATAATTTTTAAATTTCTGAAAAGAAATGTATTCGCATAATATAATTTAAGATGGAAAAGTTTTCCTACCTAACTGACATTATTTTTAAAAAACCTAGGCAGATACATGCAGCTACATCAGGTGCATACGGAGAAGCCAATAGACATCTTGAAAGAAATATCAGGTATAAAACTCTCTGCTGTCTATTTGTGTGTAATTGTACCAGTAGGAAAGCATGCTTTGTTGGAGTATTTCAAAAAATAAGTTAGATAAAATCAGTTTTCTTTTCACCTTTAGCTATAATGAGTAAGCTGTTTTTGAGACAGGGTTGCACTAAGTAGCCCTTGCTATAAGGAGTAAACTCCTTTTGATATGGGGTTGCACTACGTACCCTTTGCTGCCCTGGACTTAGCTATGTACACAAGGCCAGCCCCAATTTTACAGAGGTCTGTCTGCTCCTGCATCCACTGTGCTGGTTTTAAAGTGTGGCAGCATGCCTGGCTAGGTAACACATGCTTTTATAGGTTCTTGTTCTTTAAATTTGTCTGAAGATTTACATTGCAAATTCCAAATTGTCTGAGCATAAGGACAGGATGGGAGGATGGGATGAAAGTCCTTGCAGGAAGGAGGTTTGCTGGTCTCGTGTTTCCTGACTTGCTTCAAGATATAGATCCCTGTTGCTGGGTGGGCACGAATGAACAATGGGAAATAGTTTTGCTCAGTTGGACTTGCACTGCCAAAGCTTTCCCTTGGTCCTGGCAGTTGTGTGCAGCCTCTCCGGCTGCATCGTGACAGGCTCACCCTTCATGGGGATTAATTTGGTAAGGAAGCATTTCCCCACCACGGTCCAGATTTACACCTGTTTTATACATCCTACCTAGGTGAGCATTCATTCTGGATATGTTTTGCTTGCATTTCTTCTTCTTTATTATTTAGGAAAAAAGGAAAAATAATAGCTTTGGAGAATCCTTTTTTTCTTTTAAAGCCAGGCACGTGCCTGTTATCCCAGCCCTTATGAGACAGGAGCAAGAGGATTCTTGCAAGTTTGAGACCATTATGGTAAACACAGTGAGTTCTAGGACAGTCAGCCTTCCTATGGAAGGCTGAATATGGGAGAGATGGTCTTCCTTAGGGAAGTACACACAATACCGAACAGTCAGTCAGCCTTAGAGTTGTGTTGCACACAAATTCATTATACAGGCTGAGTAGTTTGCACTTATGCACCATTAGTGAAAAAAAAAAGAGCCTTTGAATCTGAAAAACAGCAAGGGGGTTTATGGAATCGTTTGGAGGGAGAAAAGGAAGAGGGAAATAATGTCATTACATTATAATCTCAAAAAAGGAACGTTGGAGAAGTAGGGAGGAACTGGGAGGAATAGAAGGAGAGGAAACTGTAATAAAGATATATTATGTAAGGAAAAAGTCTATTTTTAACAAAGGAAAATATTACATTTTTTTTAAATATAATTTTTTTATTGAAAAAAAAAGATTTCCGCCTCCTCCCCGCCTCCCATTTCCCTCCCCGTCTCCCTTTTCCCCCCTCCTCCCTCTCCTCTCCCCCTCCCCCCCACTCCTCTCCCCCTCCCTCTCCAGTCTGAGGGGCAGTCAGGGTTCCCTGCCCTGTGGAAAGTCCAAAGTCCTCCCTGCTCCATTCAGATCTACTCCCTTTCTGTCTCTCATTAGAAAAAAAAAAAAAAAAA